GCTTATGGTTTTGTTGTTAAGATCATGGACTGGCTGTTAAGGTTAGTGCTCTGTTGTCAAGCTTATGGATTGGTTGTTAAGATTAGCGTCCTGTTGTTAAGGTTAGCGCTCTGTTGTTAAGGTTATGTATTGGTTGTTAAAGTCAGCTCTCTGCTGTTAAACTTATGGAATGGTAGCTAACATTAGCTCCTTGTTGTAACGCTTAGCTCTGTTGTTAGGCTTATGGATTAAGAAGATCACGGGGTTAAGTTTAGCGCCCTGTTGATAAGCTTAGCTCCTTGTTGTAACGCTTAGCTCCTTATTGTCAAGTATATCGCTACAAATGTTAAGGTTATGGATTGGTTGTTAAGTTTAGCGCCCTATTGATAAGGTTAGCGCTCTGTTATTAAGGTTATGTATTGGTTGTTAAAGTCAGCTCTCTGTTGTTAAACTTATGGAATGGTAGCTAACATTAGCTCCTTGTTGTAACGCTTAGCTCTGTTGTTAGACTTATGGATTAAGAAGATCACGGGGTCGTATTGTTAATGTTATGGTTTTGTTATTAAAGATCATGGACTGGCTGTCAAGGTTATGTGCTGGTTGTCATGCTTATAGATTGGTTGCTAAGGTTAGCGCCTTATTGTTAAGGTTAGTGCTCTGTTGTCAAGCTTATGTATTGGTTGTTAAGGTTAGCTCTCTGTTGTTAAACTTATGGAATGGTAGCTAACATTAGCTCCTTGTTGTAACGCTTAGCTTTCTGTTGTTAGGCTTATGGATTAAGAAGATCACGGGGTTGTATTGTTGATGTTATGGTTTTGTTCTTAAAGATCATGGATTGGCTTTCAAGGTTATGTGCTGGTTGTCAAGCTTATGGACTGGTTGCTAAGGTTAGAGCCATGTTGTCAAGCTTAGGGATTGGTTGATAAGGTTAGCGCTCTGGTATTAAGCTTATGTATTGATTGCTAAGGTTAGCGTCCTGTTGTTAAGGTCCCTTACTGTTATTCACTTGCGCTTGTTTGTCACGGTCACCGGGGTATATTCTCTGCTACTGCATTCAATGTTCCTCCTAGTTCCCAAGGAGGAGAGTTAATATAACCTGAACACCTACCTATCCCCACATTCCACGCGGCAACATCACCATCCCTTCGCCTGTTCAGCTACAGGATAGCGCAGACATCCTTTCGGCGCAATCTTTCCTCGATCTCCCTTACCATTTATTCTCTGTTGACCCTCTATATTTAATCTGGAAAAAAAGCTTCCCTCTCCCCAAAACCTTCAAGTTCTCCTTTCGCCATTAAAACCAGAAGATCAACGCTAAGTTCTCCTTTCGCCATTAAAACCAGAAGATCAACGCTAGTCCTCACGCCGATGAAGGTCATGGCGACGAGGTTTGCGCACAATGATGAAGATCGATGAAGGTCATGGCGACGAGGTTTGCGCACAATGATGAAGATCTTAGGTATCCCTCACGCTGATGAAGATGTTATCCCCTGGAACGGGTTTGCTCTTAGTTCCATTAGCTGTGGGTGAATGCATGTGGCTCTTTTCAATAAGCTTGTACAATAAAAAGATAGTTAAGATTGATAGGTGCGTGGAATACAATCAATTCAGCTGCATCAATGTGTGAATCACCTAGGAAGGCATGCGAATGCTGGTGGAGATAGTCCTCTGGCTTACGTTAACACTGTATAGCTATACAGTGTAAACGTAAGCCATAAGACTATCTACAACAGCATGGCATGCCTTCCTAGGTGATTCACACATTGATCCATCTGAATTGATTGTATTCCACGCACCTATGAATCTTAACTATCTTGTTATTGAACAAGTTCATTAAATGGAGCCAGTTATATTCACCCACGGTTATGGGACATATAGTAGAGACAATGGTAATACATGCTGTAGTCATCGTGTATTCAAGCTTATTTGTTGAGTTTACGGGGTTGTTGATAGGCTTATTTGTTTGTTTTAAGGTTGTAGCATGATTGTAAAGGAAATTATTTTTGGATACATGTTGTTTTGTTAAGTTTAACGATTTATCAAGAAATATTATGGACTCGCTGTTAAGGTTATTGACTGGTTGTTAAGTTTACGTGTTTATTGTGAAGTTTGGCGTTGTATTTTCAAGCTTATTTATTGGTTGCTATGATTAGCGCTCTGTTGCCAAGCTCATGGTTAGCCCTCTGTTGTTGCGTTTAGCTCTGTTGTTAGGCTTATTTATTGGTTGTTAAGATTGTAGCAGACCTCATTGATTTGTTGAACTTAGGGAATTGTTGAGAAGATCACGGTATTGTTGATAAGCTTATTTTTTTCTATGTTAAGAATGACGGTAAAGAAGGACGTGGCTGATACAAGGTTGTCAAATACAAAGTTTAGTGTTTTGTTAATATCACTGCGTGGCGGTTAAGCTTTTATTTTTGGTAGGGGTGTAAGCAAGCTTGTAAAGGACGTGTCAGGATACATTGTCAGGCTTATTGATTGGTTGTTAAAGTTGACGACCTGTTGTCAGGCTTATTGATTGGTTGCTAAAGTTGACGACCTGTTGTCAGGCTTATTGATTGGTTGTTAAAGTTAGCGCTCTGTTGTCAATCTTTATGTATTGGTTGCTAAGGTTAGCTATCTGTTGTTGAACTTGTGGAATCGTAGCTAACATTAGCTCCTTGTTGTAACGTTTAGCTCTACTGTATAGCTTATTGGTTGAGAAGATCACGGGGTGAATTGATAAGCTTATGATTTTGTTGTTAAGATCGTGGATTGGTTGTCAAGCTTATGGATTGGTTACTAATAGGGTTAGCACCCTGTTGTTAAGGTAAGTTGTTAATTGTCAAGCTTATGTATTGGTTGTTAAGGTTAGCTATCTGTTGTCAAAACTATGGAATGGTAGCTAACGTTAGCTCCCTGTTGTAACGTTAAGCTCTGTTGTTAGGCTTATTTGTCTGTTGTTAGGCTTATTTTTTGGTTGTTAAGGTTGTAGCATGGCTGTAAAGAAGGACGTGGCATTATACAAGGTTGTATTATTGAGCTTATGTTTTTTTTTTGTTAAGATCATGGTCTGGTTATTAAGATTATGTATTGGTTGTCAAGGTTATGGATAGGTTGCTAATGTTAGCGCTCCGTTGTCAAGCTTATGGATTGTTAGCTAATGTTAGCGCTCTCTTGTCAACTTTAGCCTTTTAGTTGCCAAGTTGATCAAGAAAGCAGTTAGTGGGTTTCTATCTGTATTAAATGCTTCCATAGTAGATTATGTTTCCAAGACAGCCAGTATTATCATCTGTCTCCTCGTTATTCCCAGCCACCACGCTTTAATTAACCCTCAGAAGCCATCAATCTTCCCATCACCGCCATTTTCTCCCCATCCCAGCCCCATTAACAACTACACGACCTTCGTTTCGAAACCAGAAGGATCATGTCTCACGATGATAGCGCGTGTATACATTATCATGGCTCGGGGCATATCTCCCGGGATTGCCCTCATGGTCTTGTAGCAAACAGGGACCCACGATTTCTCCCCGTTCCAGATAACGTCGCCCGCAACATTCAGGAGCTTTCTACATTCGCTCTCCTCACTATTGAGGTGGGTCTGCCATCTTTGGACGAGCTCAGAGAGATGCTAGGGTATCGCTTCGACGTCTGGGATTGGACCTATGAGATCAAGCTGGTATCTATAAATAGGTTCATGGTTAAATTCCCCTCTGATGAGCTACTAGATCAAGCCGTCCAGCTCAGTCCTGTAAATCTTGGGTCCTTCGTGGGCAGATTCAGGCTTTGGCGGGAGGACCTCAGGCTAAGAGCATTGCCGTACCCCATGTTTAGGTGGGTCCGCCTCTTCAATCTCCCCTACCACCTCTGGGAGTGGGAGTTCCTCCAATCACTATTCGAGGGCATCGGCCAATGCATGTACTGCTCCGCTGACGTCACCACGAAGACAAACTTCAGAGACTGCAAGGTGCTGCTAGAGATTAGGGAATATTCGGATATCCCTAAGAGGATTAGGTTTCGTTACACCTCTCCCATGAACCGTCGTCTGATGGAAGGTTTCGTCGTCACTCAGCTTGTGGGTGGAGACCGTGAGCAGCAGGCAAACAATGAGCAAGGTCCCATCGACATGTCCGTTGACCAACCTCAAAGCCAGCAACCGCAGCCTTCCCGCGCCGACCCGGAATTGATTGAAGTGTCTTGGGACGGCAGGCAAATGACGGTGGAGAAAGAGCTCTGGCAACGATTTCTCCGGGCCCAAGGTGTTGGGCCGTCTACCCTTCCTCGCGATAGGGGTTCCTACCACGATCGCGCTTCGAGCAAGGGGAGCGGGGGAGGAGCAGTCGGCCCCTAGGTTATCATTAATTGTAAATCTATAAATGTTTTGCTGAACTTGATGATGATACGCTCTATTAACTACCTATTAATATGTTCCTGCTAATATAGTGTGTTGTTAAGCTTTTGTGTTTGTTGATGAGTTTACGGTTTTGTTATTGAACTCATGGGTTTGTTGTTAATGTTATCCCTTGGGGATCTAGCATATCGTAAACTATTGGCGAGCAAATGTAGAAATCTTTTCGAATTTAGTTTGGTTGCATTTGAAGCACAAGTTAGCAGAATCTTGCGATGTTGTTAAGCTTTGCTGTTTGTTGTTGAGGTTACGGTTTTGTTGTTGAACTCATGGGTTTGTTGTTGTTAATGTTATCCCTTGATATCAACCTTATAATAGTTGCTTCAAGTTAGCAGAATCTTGCGATGTTATTAAGCTTTGCTGTTTGTTGTTGAGGTTACGGTTTTGTTGTTGAACTCATGGGTTTGTTGTTAATGTTATCCCTTGATATCAACCTTATAATAGTTACTTGTATATTGTTTATATTTACCTTATAATATTTACATGTATATTGTTATTAATACCAAAGAATTGTAATATATCATTTACAAAAAATCTACATCTCAATGTCATCATCGTCAAGTTTTCCCACCTCTTTTTTCCTCTTCCTGCCTTCAATCAGTAAGTATGTTGCTAGCTTCGCACAAACCACCCATGTGTTATGCTCTTCGGGCGTGACGTGCAGGACATCTCTACCTTCGGTAATCGCTTGTACGAACTGGTAGACATAGATCCCACAGTCATACCTGCACACAACCACAAGGAAGCATTGAGACCATTGTTGCTTTCAATCAAAACATAACAACAAATTCGTAACCTTAACAACCAGTTTCCAACAATGAATACCAACAAGGGTTCCGGCAAACTTACGATCCCTTTTGCTCCTCGCATGGAACTTTGATTGGGTCGAATACGCTGCGCAATTGGTTCTCATTGAAGCCAGCTTTAATGTAGTTGAAGGCTTTGACGATATTGAGCACAGGGTCCCAATGTCCAGATCTCTCCTTCAAGGAGTCGTAATGCCTAACAATATCATTTTCGACATCAAACTCCAGAAGATGCCAATGATCGCCCTGGACAATGGGAACTAAGAGGTTAGTACACCCTTCATCGACCAAGCGTTTGATGTAGATATCATGCAGCTCTTGGTAATCTGGTTTCAGCACATGTATCTGGTGCTGCAATAAAGAATTAACCCGATCAGGTTCCTTTTAACATAGATTATGTGCTGATAGTTAGGAGTACGCCACGCCAGACATAAACTTACACTAAACCAAACAGGGACTACGCCGAATTTTATACTGGACGATGCTCTCTGATTTTCACGAACTAAATCAAGCAGCGTATCAACAAGCTATCATAAGTTGGCAACAAGTAATTAATAATAGTATTGTTAAATATGCTAATGAATAAATACCAATCGAAAATCTTACTGAATCATCCAGTCGCCCACCGCGTAATATATTGAGGATCTCAAGCCGGGTAATAGACCCTGCTGATCCCTCGTACACTTTAATAAAACTGCAAACAGGGAAAAAAACAAAAATAATAGTTAGCAACTAACAATTAGCAGCAAGAACAAATCAAAAACTATAACGAAAAACCCTTAACCTAAACAACAAATCAATAACCATAACAAAAAACCCGTAACCATAACAACAAACACGTAACCTTAACATCAAATACGTATCCTTAACAACTACCACATAACCTGCACAACAAATCAATAACTATAACAAAAAAACCCTTAACCTAAACAACAAATCAATAACCATAACAAAAAAACCCGTAACCATAACAACAAACCCGCAAACTAAACAACAAACGTAAATACTTGAGATGTGAGGTAAATACTTACTTGTTACATCTACAAATGCAAAAATGGTTAAGAGCTTTTTGCTCCTCTTCCGTCAGTAGCGCGGCAACGTCTGCTGACACCTTATAGTTATGTACAAATATGTCCTTGTCGCCCAAAAACTTGATGATGAAGCCATCTGGAAAGGGAATCCCCTCGTTCAGCTTATCTTTGTACATTTCTTCTTCTGAACTCATAGGGGAACTCATGTGTTTTTCCCAGATAGAGTGGGGGTCACTTTGTAGCCGAGTAGGAGCCAACTCTGCATTGTTTTCCTGCACCTGCGCTTCCTCCTCCCCACCCACTTCTATTATAGCCTTGTCCCCTATGTTGTCTTTTTCTTTCTTCTTCTTCCCTTCAGTGTAAGGGGTGACTACCCACTTGGAAGGCTTCACCGATCTTTTGCATCTCTTCCGTTTAGGGGGTGCAGCAGCGGCCATCTTCCCGCGTGCCCCCGTTGCACCCCTCTTTCTCTTATTCAAAACCTTTGAAAACACAATAGGAGCATCTTCGTCATCAGTTGATGTCTCTTCTGCTGGTGGAGGGGCATTCTCTGATTGCTTTATTTCCATCCTAGTGTCCTCCCGCAGAGTGTCTGATTCCAAACAATCCATTCGAAGTATAAATATTAAGAAAACATAGCCCCTTCTATCTAAACTTAACAATTTCATAGTAAACCTAACAACTGATGCTTAAACACATGGTGAAAAGTTGCTAACCTATACAAGTTTGCGTCTCCCCATCACATGCAGAAGGGACTTCAACCGCCGGCGTTATTTCCCTTCCAGTGCCCTCGCGTTGAGTGCCTGTTTCTGATAATATTCAGAGTATAAACAATAAAAAGCTTAACAACCAATACGTAGACATAACAACCAATCTTTAACATATAGTACAAAAGCAAGCTAACCTGTACAAGTTAGTAGCTCCTTCGCTGGCGGGACACCTTCTCTCCCTCGTTTATTTCTGCCTCAAGGGCCTTGTCAACAGCAGATGCCTCTGGTGGAGGTAATTCTCCTGGCGGAGCATCTTCACTCTTATTGTGGATATCAGAAAACAATGGTTGTGGAGAGGCCCTCCCTGTTGGAGGGGTCTCGCTCTCCTTATTAGCTTCATCAAATAATAATGATTTATTGACATCCCCCTCGTACTGTACATCAATGCCACCCACGGTGCCTGGAGTGTCTGATTCAAAAAATAAACACAAATGAGCTTAGGTACTTCATTGTCAAAAAAAACATAGCATCAGTTACATAACCTTAAAACTAACCAAGATACTTAACAATCAATCTCCAACCTTGGCAATAAATCCCTGACCTTAACATTAGATACGTAAAGTTAACAATATATTCTTAACCTTAACAATAAATCCATATACTTATCAATCAATTTTTAACCATAACATGCAAACGTAATTGCAAGCCACATCTAACCTGTACAAGTTTGCGGCTCCATCAATGGGCTGGACACCAATCCTGTAGGGCTCTTATCCTTATATACAGAGAGGGTTCCAGATCGTGCTTCGCTTAGTTCCTCTCTCAGTCTTCTATTTTGAGCAGACAGCTTAGCCACCTTCATAGAAAGAGCACTTATCTTTACACGGTCTGCAACAATCATACCCTTGAATTTATTCTCGTTCTCGCGGCGTAATGATTCGTTCATTGCCGCGATGCTCTTCTAGTAGATAACTTGCTGAGGCCAATCCATTTGCTCAACTGCATCATTTGGCTGCTCGGCGTCTTCATCAATATCCTGTGGCATCACATATGCAACGGACAGGTAGAGTACTATTAAAAGGATTAATTAATTCAAAAACAAATGAAATCAACGATTGCTAAGTTCTTACAAGTGCATCAATTGGGATGTCGTCATCTTCTTCTCTCCTCTTCTTCTTGTGAAGAAGGTCTATTGGGCCACGAGCCCTGCCGGCGTCTACTGCAGCCGGACCCTTAATCCTCCTCTTCTCTCTCTCTCTCTCCTCTTCTCTTTCTCTATCCCCTGCTCTTTCCCCCAAAAACCTCCCTCGATTCTTTGAATTTGTCCATGTTGCTGTGGAAGATTTATCGTAGCTTTGCTTGCTTTCGCAACAACAGTGGTCAATCTCAAAGAACCAGCAACGTGCCCAAGTCTCACCCAATTTGTCAGGGGAGGCCTCACCGTACAACCAAGTGCTGGCTTCATGATGCCGGTGAGTTCATAATACCACAACTGCACATTAGAGAAATAAAAACTTAACAAACACCTTCATCCGTAACAATTAATAAAGTAACCCTAACAATAAAAACGTAACCTTAACAACCAAACCGTAATATTAACAACCAAACCGTAATATTAACAACCAAACTGTAACCTTGACAACGAATCTGTAACATTAACAACTAAACCCTAACCTTCACAAATTCCAAAAAACATGATTACTTACACAAACTAGAGGGGTACACCCTTGCAGATATAATGTCGTCTTCCCTGGCTCAGGACCCTTCAGTGCCCTCTCTATCGCGTCAGATGTCTCATTGAATATATAGGTCCCCCAAGCAGTGTTGTTGATCTGTTCGATGCTGTCGACGTACTTGAATAAATACCTAGGAACGCCGGAAACACTGCTTGGACACCAAATCATGCTCAGCTGATAGAGGATCTGTAGCAGGACAAAGTCCTTCACATCTCGGCGATCAGAAGATAGTACCAGCTTCAAGAGCAGGTCCTCCACATTGCGTCTGGTGGGGCCTCCTTTGGGGGGAGCTATACTGCTGGAACCCCCCGCCTCGGGTTTGTCAAAGAACCTGGACCAAATCTTATTTTTCCTGTCCCGATTGTGGTCAACATGAAGCCCCTCATTAGAGAACCATGTATGCTCCATTACCCACTCAAGGTTGAATGAGCATGCGATCTCTTCTCCATCATTCCTATCGGTGAAGACGAATTTTTTGCTCTTCTTGTCCCACTGACTCAAAATGTGCTCAAAGGTGGGAAGATCGACGCCAGGTGGGCCAAATTGGACGTAGTGTCTGAATACACTATCTTCGTAGGCCGCAAAATACCTTGGCCCCATACGTGTCACCAAATTCTGTATGAAGTCGTGATAGGCACCGAAGCTGGCGGTGGGCCGCAACGTAATAGCTGGCTTTGCCCTTTTTCTACAAAACAAAAACACAAGACGAGAGCATTTTTTAGTATAATCAGTAAACATAACAACTATGCCGTAAACTTTGCGGGTAAACCAACAACCTTAACAGCAACCCCATAACCTTAACAACAAAAACCTAACATTAACAACCAAAGCCTAACCTCAACAACTAAACAACAACCTTAACAATAAAGGCAGTAACCAACAACCTAACCTCAACAACTAAACAACAACCTTAACAATAAAGGCAGTAACCAACAACCTTAACAACAACCCCACAACCTTATCAACCAAAACCTAACCTTAACAACCAAAGCCTAACCTCAACAACTAAACAACAACCTTAACAATAAAGGCAGTAACCAACAACCTTAACAACAACCCCACAACCTTATCAACCAAAACCTAACCTTAACAACCAAAACCTAACCTTAACAACCAAAGCCTAACCTCAACAACTAAACAACAATCTCAGCAATAAAAGCATAGACCTTGCATGTTAACAGTAACCTCAACAGCTAACAGACACCGTACTTTTGGACCTTCCCACCAGACTAAGAGCATTATCAATCAAACCATAACCTTAACAACATAAAACTTGCGGTAAAAATTACCTTTTGGGTGCTGCCACGTGCTGCTCTTTTTCTCCTCTCTGTAGACCAAGAAGCGCTCTAGTGGCATCGTTGGACGCGCCGGTGGTGCCGGTGCTGCCCTCTAGACCTTCGCGGGGGCCTACACTTCTATTTTGAGGCCGGCTTCTGGGATGAGAATGGCTGGTTGCGATGTCCTCTAGAACATCGCCAATCGCAGCTCGAGCTTCAGATTCAGTCCGCACTGCAGTTGTATGGGCTCTTTCTGAGATTTCGAATCGCTGGGCGTAATCGCTTTCGCTGTGGTCGGCATTGAGGTTGGCTTTGGGGGTTGAATCGCCGGCCATTGCGTAATCGCTTTCGCTGTGGTCGGCATTGAGGTTGGCTTTGGGGGTTGAATCGCCGGCCATTTTGATCACTTTGCTTTGATTCGGTTTGCGTTGGGGTCGGTTGATTTAGGGCTAGGGTTTTGAATTGGGTTTCTGGAGTCGGTTTGCTTGCAGAAGAGAGAGACGACAGGGTACGGACGAGGAGGTAACTCATAACGGGGAATTTTAAACGTAAGGGTATTTTGGGCATTTCGAGCGGGGTTTAAACGACGTTACGCCTGGGGATTGGTTTTGGGGGCTGGAAGAAAATCGGGGGCGGTTTTGGGGGTAAAAGGCACGTTGAAAAGGTCTTGGGGGGGCAGAGCATGTGGTGGGTTGTTTTGGGGG